TTGGTACGATAATTTAAAAAAAATGTGTCTAATGATTTTGATATCCTACAGTGGAAAGATTTTACACATAGATTTTGGAGACTGCTTTGAAGCATCGATGAACCGTGAGAAGTTCCCAGAAAAGGTGAACACAATAATTGATTTTTCCTAGTTTTAGATGATAAGAGTCTTGATATTTTGTTGTACCTTATCTTTTTAAGTTATTATTCAGGTTCCTTTCCGCCTGACAAGAATGCTTGAGAAAGCCATGGAAGTTAGTGGTATTGAGGGAAACTTCCGCTCAACTTGTGAAAATGTCATGCAAGTTTTGCGAACAAATAAAGATAGTGTTATGGCCATGATGGAGGTATAGATATTTTCTACTGAAGATGAAAAAGAATAGCCACCCTCAGTTTCTGAAATTTTTCAGAAAAATAAATGATGGAATGCATAGTAAAGAAGAAAGACGAAATTTTACAGAAATACATTTCTCCCCTTTCTCTATCTCTTTCTCTGGCATACGCGAGCCTAATTGAAATGTGATAGCTTTTATTTTTAATTTTTATGTGAAGATTTTCTTCTGTACCTTTGCAAATTATAATAAGATGAAGAGGAAGACTATATATAAACTTATAAAGTTGATGAAAGAATTAGAGCAAGATAAACGGTATAGAAGAAAGTTTTGTGGAAAGGGTAAAAAACATTTTTTTGCCTCTGGTCTGTAATTGAACTCTAATATTGCTTTATTATCCTTTTATTCCTACTGAAAGAACACTTCTAACTACAGATGTTAGATTCCGGCCACATATATATGGGGTGTTTCTCTAGATCATCTCCAGTTGTTATTCTTGATATAAGTGAATAAAAAGATTGATTATTTGATCTTCCTGCATTCAGGCCTTTGTCCACGATCCTCTTATAAATTGGCGTCTTTTTAACTTCAATGAAATTCCACAAATGTCTATGCTTACTAGCAATCATGTCACTCCTGCTGTAAATACTGAAGAATCTGCCCAAAATAGAGAGCTTCCCTATCCTCAGCGTGGTGCCCGTGAAAGGGAACTTCTTCAGGTATTATCATGTATTATTTTGTTGCTTTTTATTCATTAATGATGCCTATTATATCTCTACCTGTGCATATAGGCTGTTAATCAACTTGGTGATGCTAATGAGGTGTTGAATGAGCGTGCTGTGGTTGTCATGGCTAGAATGAGTAATAAGCTTACAGGAAGGGATTTTTCAACTTGTTCTTCAGTATCAAACAGCTCCCTTCAGCATGCAGTGGACCATAATAGCTTAATTTCTGGAGACACTCGTGAAGTAGATCATGCTCTATCTGTGAAATTGCAAGTTCAAAAGTTAATTGACCAGGCTGCATCACACGAAAATTTGTGCCAAAATTATGTTGGGTATGATCTCTAACACTTGTACTTTGCATTGACACACTAGCATATTCCTCAGACGTCTACTATGTTTGTTGGAATTTGACAACATTTACCCTTCCTTCATTTTTTATTTTTTTTATAGAAAAAGAAGATTACAAAAGTACAAAGATTGGAGGGTAATATTTCCTCACAACAGAAAACTAATAAGAAAAAATTACCAAGAGTCAAAAAACTGAAGAATTCAATCCCCTTGACAAAACTGTGCATTGAGCACAAAGAGAGGCCAAAAACCTTATTTTATCCCACAACATTTCTGAAGACACTGAAATGCTTTTAAAGTACAGGCATCCATCTTATTAGAATTGTGCAGACTAGACCTAACTCAAACCCAAAAGCTAGCTCACAGGGTGATTGATGTCCAAGCCTTAGAAGCACTATTTTAGGGCTAAATTCCCATTCGATGGGGGACTCTAAGAGCGAACACTGCACTTTTTCACAGAATCTTCACCCCCTTTCTTCTTCAAAACCCTATAACACTTATTGTCAAAAAGATCTCTATCTCTAGACAGTTAGGATAAACCCAATCTTCCCCACAATAGCAAAACAACCTATTCCACAATGAATTAGCAATAGGACAATGTAAAACAGATGTAGAATTGTTGATGGTCATGACATGAATATTATGGGAAATGGGTTGATTTAGGGCTCCGCATCGCAACAAATCGTCACTATTGATCCTATTGGGGACCACTGTTCAGGCAAAAGGCTTCAAGTAGTAAATAAATTTGGGTTTCCAAATAAATTTGTAAGGAGTGAACTCCTCTGTATTAGGAGAATGAGTTAAGACAAAAATACTAGAGAAACCTCTACAAGGTCGAGAGTCCACATTTCCCTATCTGGAATAAGATAGAAGATTGAGACCTTCTAGTTGAAGGAGAGCTCATAAGTCCTGAGTATCCCTATAAATTTGATTCCTACAGGTCTGTTTGCGAGTTGAATTTTGAAAGGGAATGAGGGGGAAGGGAAGGCTTTTGGGAGCCATGAAATACACTGGTTAGATGGGTCCCTTATTTCCCCTTCAAAACTCAACTCGCAAACAAACCCTAAAGAAGTCAAAAGTTCTAGGAAATAGTCACCTTAAAAATGAATTGTGTCATAAAGAAAGGTTATAGAGGTGTAGATATATGCCTTCATAAAAGAGATACCATTCACTAAAATATCTTCCCAAAATCTAAGTCAAGAAAAACATTCCTTTTTGGCTCCATAACTATTATGGTCTATATGCCTATTATGATAAATTTAAGCAATGGGTGTTCTCTAAATTTATATTGATGTTTTCTTGTGATAAATTGGCTTAGTTAGCCCCTTCTTTGATCAAAAGGAATGTAGATCCTCTGCAATTTTAAAAAGCTAGAAAAAATATAGACCTTTAAAAATGTTTTATTGTATGTTAAAATAAAAATTATAAAATGACCATAATTTTTTTTGAACTTTTAAATATGAAGCCATTGGATCAATAACTGCACAACATGCTGTTTTAAAAATGTAGAGGATCCTGATCCAATAAAAAGGTCCTCTTTCATAACCTTTGATGTGATAATGAAGTTTATGATCGCATAATGTATAGTGAATCATGGGTTATGGTCTTTAGATTTACTGTGGTGTTTTTGTTTTTAGGTGGTGCCCTTTCTGGTAAGATTCAAAGGAAGCAGTAAATATTGTATATAATCTGGTATAATCTGTATAATCTTTACTCCCCCTCCCCTCACATCTCTACTCTCTAGCTTAGGTATGATATATACAGTCACCAGTCTCCAATCGCCTCTATTCTTCTTCCATTTTGTAGTTCTGATCACATTTCAACCGCGTTTTTGTAAATATTATGTTACCATTAGGTCTTCTCTGTGCGTATTGTAATATATCTTCAGTTTATGTCCATGGGCATTAAAACTATTGCATACTAAAATATGTAAATGTTTTTGGAAGCATTTGCGGTAAATTAATCATGAACATGTATGTTGAATTATAAAATGTCTAGTTGTTACACTTTTAAGTAACTTGCAATTCCAAGGATATTATAGTATACCGTAAATCCTGCCTTGTTAGGCACCTTGATTCAAATTTATGATTTCTTTTTTTGTTGTCATAGATAGTTTCCCGCTGCAGAATATGGTGACACTCTCTAACTTGGTGAGCTGGCTGTGTAAAAATTTGGTTCTTGAAAAGTAATACAAGAGAATGAAAGTAACATACTTAACCTTTTCAGTTTTGAAATCATGAGTTTCATAGATATAGTGAGCATGGTTGGTATCTATGCAAGGGAATGAAAACCAAGAATCTGGGGTAAGCTAAGAGAAAGTATATTATAATTCACTACAATTCGGGGAAGAGAAAACCCTATAACAAAAACCAATTTTGTAAAGTATATGGTAATTTTTTACATTCCTTTAAGCTAGCTTTCACCCACCATTGTAAGATTGACTTCTTTTTAACGTTTGTGAAATAATTTTAAGACAGGGAATACAGTGAAAATGTACCAACTTAAAACAAAAATAGGCTAAAGCAAACTCTCCTTAAGTCAATGGTCTTTCAAGACTTGACAACAATTAACATCCATACAAATTATAAAGCAAAAACAAAAAGATAAGGAAATGTTATCTAGCATTAGAGGCATTTGCCAGGAAAGTAATTGATATGAATGACATAAAACACATCCTTGGTCCCATGTTATCAAGAAACAGAAAATAATGACAGAAAAAACCAATCTACGACCGAGCTCCCTTGCAACTTGCAAGCCTCTCTAATAGAGGTTTTGGTGGATGTTCTGCAATAAAAATGTCACAAGTAGAGTTAACTTGAAACAGCGGGACATAGAAGGTAAAACACTAGTTCATAATAAAGCAAGGTTTTTTTTACATTTGCATTAAAAATTACTTGTACACCATCCATGAATTTCTCACATGAATTTTGCATTTCATAATGTCATACTATATACCACAGTATTCCTTTGGACGTGCTTAACAGGATTATTCTGTCCGTAGCTGAGATCTACAGTTCTAAACTTTACTGGGAGAGTGAGGAATATATTGTAAACCCCGAGATAACACTTATCTATTAAAGAAATTTTGCATTTCCAAAGCACTTCGGCTCACATGAATTTTTCACAATGACACAAGATGTGCTCTACTCAAACCAACAAGACATATGCAGCTATAGCTCTTAATGTTGAAAATGTGTATCCATTACATTATTATTAGAAGATTCGTTTTTAGGAATAGAAAATAAAAACAAAGGTTTGCCCATTTCATTTTTTAAGGTTAAAGTAGAAAAATTAAATATTTATGTTTGTCTGTATGGCAATATTTGCAACTGTTAATTGACAAGAGTCATAACAAAAAGATTGAACATGCTTATATAGAACCTGCCTAACTTACCTACCTTGAATGCACTATTCATTGACAATAGAATTAAATTGTGAAGAGAAAAGATAAGTTTATTTTTAAATTTTCATTTCAGGTTGTTTCCCTCTGCAAGAGATGAGAAAAGAAAAGAAAAGAAAAGGAGGAAAAGGAAAAGAATCCCTTACGAGATGGAATTCCTTCTACACTAAACACCATCCATGATTCTCCTCCCTCCATCAATCTTCAGTAACTTCACGAGGGTTGCGCTCGTTGCGGGACTTAACCCAACACCTTACGGCACGAGCTGACGACAGCCATGCACCACCTGTGTCCGCGTTCCCGAAGGCACCCCTCTCTTTCAAGAGGATTCCACTGCAACAGCATAGGTAACAATTAGTAAAACGAAGTTTAATTTATATCATTCCCGATCTGCAAAACACATAATGCAATTGAATGGTCACAATCAATAAATTGAAATAATGTTGCTGGACACATTTCATATATATAGGCACTTTCATAAATTAACTAATAAAGTTATCTGATAGAAGAAGCAATAATTGCTTGCTTGTTACTATGAACTTCCTTTGCTGATAGAGATGGTTGCAGAAAACCAAAGTGGTCTTGCAATGAGAATCTTCCCTGAAAGTGCACAAACCATTTTACATATGACTTCGAACCAAGTGTAAAATCTTCAATAATAAAAGCAGAGGTACCTCAAAATAAGATGCTGAGAAACCTTGTGAGTAATCAAGCATACTCTCCATTGAAATTTGTTGGTTACTCACACTAATATTGTTCTGAAAACTTGCCAAGAACCATTATATATGAGTAACATGATTATACTCTAGTCCTATAAATAGAAGAAGAACCATGCCCTTGTAGATTTGAATCATACAGAAAAAATACATTCAATTTATATTGTGTTTCTGTTTCTAACACTTATAATACTAGAAAATTTAAATAGAAGAATGAAAGGTGAAACTGACCATGGAGAAGTCAAAGAGAGGAAAGCTAGCAGTGTCATCAAGAAAAGAAGGCAAATGTTGTTGTTATTGCTGCTTATCTTGAAGGTGTTGGTTTTCTTTAACCTTCTCCTTTTTTCTAATTCTTCTCTTGGATGCTACTTTAGATGCAGAATGGAAGCAACCTGCATTAATAATATCTTGTTGTGCATTGAAGTTATAGTAAGAGTCATGTTGAGGGAAATGTGGAGGTCCAGAAGAAGCATCAGAAACCATAGACCAGTCTTCTTCTTCTTCCTCCTCGCTTTTGGATTTTATGTATTTGTCTTCTTCATCATAAAATGCATTATCATCAGCGTCACCTTGTGCACCAATAAATGGAGAAGGGTTGTGGTTGAGGAATGAGTTGTCTAGGTATATAGTCCAACCAGACTCACACCCGCTACTGCATTAATATTCTGAAGCAGCCAATGCATTCATCTTCCTTCCTCTAAGAGAAAATCTAAAACCGGTTTGTTTTTCTATTATTCTTTATTTCTACTATATAGGTAATAGGAGTGAGTGTCCAATTTATGATAAAAGGAAGAGGAGTAGTAAGATTGTAAGATAGAGAGAGAGAGAGAGAGAGAGAGAGATGAAAATGAAATCCAGATAGATCAGAGGACCTTAGATCATTTCACATGATATAAAACAGCCTTGTACCTTGTTAACAAAACCTTCTTAATTACACCCATGTATGTGATAGATAGAGGTTATAGTGTTTGGGGTTTATTTAACCAAAAAGAAGACGGCTGAAACTAAAATATGAGTTCCACAAAGTATGAAGAAAGAAAATAAAGGAATGCATTATGCTACCTGTGAGTTTAAGAAAGTATGGTTTAAGAAAGTATGGTTCAGGAGAGAGGAGAACAGAGTCAAATTGTAATCTCTAACTAGTCATTTTATATATTTTATGTTTTCCTTATTTTTCACATTCCACCCTTTTGAGAGTCTCACCCATTTTCAAACTAGGCAACCATATGCTTTTTTGACCAACTTACTTGATTTATTTGTGTACCAATCCAATTAAAAAACATCATATAAATAGAAAATATTTATTTTATATTAATTAGTGAAATATAATTGATTTGGGATATTAAGATATAACTTTTTGGACATGTTATTTTTGTTCGATGTCTCCTCAAGAAATGAGACTAGGGTGTTGTTTGTAGTTAATAACATATATTAATTTAATTTCCTTATTATTTTATTATAAACATATAAATGTCATTACATGTTAGATTTTCTATGATTTTTCAAAGACTTGTCTCTCTATTAATAGATATAATTGAAGGAGATGCACCATTTCTATGTCCATCATGTGTGTCATGTGAGGATTAAAGATGGGACAATGCAAGGATCTTCACTTCCAGAAATTTCATATACTCATGTTTCTAACCAATCAAATTTTATAAAATAATATTAAAATATTAATTTGTGATTTTTTTTTTTAAATGAATGAAATTTTATAATTAGCTTGAAATACAAAATAAAGTATGAATGGGAATATGTGATCCCCATCCTAAAGAATGAAGCAAATGCAAACATAACTTCTTTTTTCAACCATCATCCTAAAATCAATTAGTAATGAAAATGTTATTTTTGACCTATGATGAAATAGCAAAACGTGTAAATAAGACTTCAACTTTCACATAAGGGATAAAATTGTTATTTTTGACCTATGATGAAATGACAATATCTTTGACACCTATGATAAACAATTAATCTTTAACTTTAAAAAATGTTAAGATTTTATCCACACAAAAAACTAATTAACTATAAAGAGAGTAACCACGCACATATTTAAAATATTGAGGCATGCACTAAAACTTACATCCCAGCATTCTTTTGGTACCATTTATTCATTGTGAATGCAGAGCAAAATGTGGTGCTTGTTTTTTAATGTTAGTCACATCCTCCAAAGGAGAACAACGAACACCCATTTTTATTATAAAGAGATTCTGTTGTTACTATATATGCATGCAAATAGGGAAATAAAATGGCTTTTGGCAGAGGTACAACAATGAAGAGTGAAGAGTGTAAATATTTTTGGGGGAGAGTGCAGTTGAATGGGATTTTATGAATCCACATGCAATCACATTCACTCTCCTTTTTCAAGAATGAATTTTTACTCACTCACTCTCCTCTACTACCTTGGACTGATTCACATGGGCATGTGGGCATGTGGGCACGTGTGCGTAATATTCATATGCGGGCTTCCACATATTCAGATACATGTATGCACGTGCACACACACTTTTCCATCTAAATTCCCGTTCATATCAAAATCAATTAACAATCAAAGGATAACTCAACGATAGTGCAAGTAGATAGAGAGTTGAACTCTTATGTATATAAGGGGAAGATGTTGGATATTTCAACTGTGAATGAAGAAATTTCACATTATACAAAACAAAATTTGATGAGTTAAAGAGCATATAAGTAGGTGGGCCCATAGACTTAATGTCTTAAATTTTTAGATTAAGATATGGTGTCAGACCCATTTATATGCTTCTTTCACTTAGCAGTTAGCACATGCAAGAATGATATAACTAATCGATGAAGATCTTCCAACAAGTAGTATCAGAGTCAATTGTTTGATAGCTCAACTTGTGAAACTTACTTCCCAACATGCCCCCTCCACATAAGTCTGTTGGACCTTGCGAATTATTATATTTGACTCATAACTAAATGATATATTTTGGTTCATAACAACCAGAAAGAAGTTAGGTTCTCACTCTCATATCATGTTAATGTTTCATCTCAAAATCAATTGCCAATAAAATGAGTAGCTCAACTGATATTTAAACCATTCCCAAAATAATAAGGTAAGCGATGTAGGTCTTACTTCCCAACAAAAACTTTAATTTAACATGTCATTTCTAAAATTATTTTTTAACACCAAACTTGCATTTTCTTCCCTTCCTTTTCTCTTTTCTTTTTATTACGTTTCATTCTAATGATGAATTTATATCTTCTATATATCTCCTCTCTGTCTAACACAATACCATTAATAAAAATTTAACAAATATGTATTAAATAAAAGTTTAAATTAATTTTTAAATTTAACATTATTACACCTTCAGATATTTGATTGATTTGAGTATTTTTTATATAAATTTAAAGTTAATATTTAGTAATAATTCAGAGTAATGTTTAAAATTAAGCTAAATCACAACCAAATATAAATAAATAGAAATGTAAACCACAATAAGAGTATATACTTAATATAGAAGACCGATTGCTACTATACTCACAACAATTCATCAACTTTGTGATATACCACCCATAAATGTTAAAAAATTTAGTCTTTAAAATCATTAAAAAAATCAATGCTTAGAGTAAAGACATAATAAGCGAAACCCATGGAAAAAATACAAAATAAATTGCAAACAAAAACATGTAAGCATAGGTCCAACAAAATATTAACCTCAAAAATAAATTAAAGAGTGTGTCACTTTATCTTTTGATTGGAGGATGGATGAAACACTTTCTCTATCTTAAAGTGCCCCTATTTATGTTTTGAGTGTTGTATGTCATTAATTTACATTGGAAAATGTGGGCTCAAGGAGGAAAGAAGAGTACATTACAAAGAGGTTGAAATTTAGAATCATTGAGGATTTCTTTTTGTGGGTGAAAAAAGTAAGAATAGTGGAAAGAGAATAAGAAAGTTATAAAGAAAGCTACATGTGTTTTTAATCATTTAATCATGGAAGTTATATTAATTAATTAAATGATTTTTAATAAGGAATTTACCTACCGTTTTTTGAGAAGTTGAAACTACTTTGATGATCGAAGGTAAATTACGGAAGTAAAAATTATTCCAAATTAGCAATTAGAATATGTTGAAGAAGTTCATTGAGTTATATGGTTTTTTGGTATAAATAAAAAAATAATAAGGACAAAATCAGAAATCATAAATTATACCATGGTGGGATGGTTACATTGTGTTTTGGTTTTATTAATTAGTATAAAAGTATAAATATAGATATATTCATGTGAAAGCATTGATGTTTGTTTTTACAATCTTGATAATAAGTAGAAAATATATATAATTATTATAGAAATATAAATGGAAATTAGAAAAATATTTAATTTATTTATTATATATAATCAACATATTAGTTACATTTATGGTGTTAAAAGCAGTTGTAAGGAATATAGTGCTTATATTTATTATTTAATAATATTATTGAGTTGAGAGTTGAGAAGGGAAATGATAGATGACGTGTGATGAGGTGAGGTGGTATTGTTGTTAGTTATAACAATATAATATAATAAGATGATATGATATTATTGAATTGAATCTTTTGATATCTTGTTCCAATAAACAATTGCAATTGCAGAACATGAGTTATAACCAGCAGCAGCAGCCTC